GGATTGTCTCCATGGAGCGTCTTTTGTTTGGACACCGACAGCTGCCGAGGCTTTCGCATTGATTAAGCAAAAGTTGACCTCGGCTCCGGTACTCGTACTCCCTGATTTTGGGCGGCCGTTTGAGCTGTCTTGTGATGCGTCCAAGGTAGGCATCGGCGCAGTCCTTAGTCAAGAGGGTCGCCCTGTCTCTTTCTTTAGTCAGAAATTTTCTGGACCTCGGGCTCGTTATAGCACATACGATGTTGAGTTTTATGCCATCGTTCAGGCAGTTCGTCATTGGCGTCATTACTTGTTTCATCGGGATTTTATTCTCTTCACCGATCATGAGGCTTTGCGACACCTGGCCTCTCAGGATAATATTTTTTCCCGCCATGCCTCGTGGATTGCTTTTCTACAGCAGTTCACATTTGTTCTACGACATCGATCGGGCGCATCTAACAGAGTGGCGGACGCGCTTAGTCGGCGCACCATGTTGATATCAGATATGCGAATTTCGGTGGTGGGGTTTGATGTTTTGCGCGATGCCTATGTTGATGATGTGTTTTTTGGCCCCATTCTCCATCGTCTTGCCAGTGGACCTTTTGAGGATTATTCGTTGACTGATGGATTTTTGTTCCGGGGTGTCCACCTCTGTATTCCGGATTGTAGTCTCCGCCACAAGCTCATTGCGGAGATCCATGGAGGGGGTCATGTGGGCCGAGATCGATCAGTGGAGCTCGTCAGTCGTTCTTATTTCTGGCCCTCTCTTCGTCGTGATGTGTCTCGGTTTGTCGCCCGTTGCCGCGTTTGTCATGTTTCCAAGGGAGTTGCATCGAATGCCGGTTTATACCGGCCGCTTCCTATTCCTTCCCAGCCGTGGAGCGCCATTAGTATGGATTTTGTCCTTGGATTACCGCGTACTCAGCGGGGTTTCGACTCTATTTTTGTGGTCGTTGATCGCTTCTCGAAGATGGTACACTTTGTTCCATGCAAGCGCACCACTGATGCGGTTCACGTGGCTCAGTTATTCTTCCGGGAGATATATCGTTTGCATGGACTTCCTTCGTCCATTGTTTCCGATCGCAATTCTCGTTTTCTGAGCCACTTTTGGCGCAGTCTCTGGCGTATGGCGAATACTCAGCTAGACTTCAGCAGTGCTTATCATCCTCAGACCGATGGGCAGACTGAGGTGATCAATCGGTCCTTGGGTAATTTATTGCGTTGTTTGGTGGGCAATAACTTGAGGAGTTGGGATCAGCGTTTGAGCCAGGCTGAGTTTGCCCACAACTCGCCCCTTAGTCGTGCCACCGGGTTGTCACCTTTTGAGACAGTATATGGATTTTGTCCCCGCGGCCCATCGGACTTGGTGGCTTTACCCTCTTCTTCGTCGGCGCCCGATCGCCGCGCCGCCGACTTAATCGCGGAGTTACAGACTATTCACGCGAAGACTAGAGCTCGCCTCGAGGCTACCACGTCAGCTTACGAGAAACAGACGGATGCTAAGAGGCGCCATGTGGAGTTTGAGGTGGGGGACTTTGTCTGGGCTGTTCTGACGAAGGATAGGTTTACGGCTCATGAGTACAATAAGTTGTCGGCCAGGAAGATCGGTCCTGTCGAGGTGGTTGAGAAGATCAACCCCAATGCTTATCGTTTACGACTTCCTTCGCATATTCGCACTTCTGACGTTTTTAACGTCAAGCACTTGGTGCCTTTTTCGGGAGACAATTCGGACGGAGACGAGACCGGTTTGGATTCGCGGCCGAATCCTTCTCAACCGGGGGAGGATGTTGGAGACGAGACCGCCCTAGCTTATTTGGAGAAATTTGACCGGCTTCGTATTTAGCATTATTCCATTTAGTGTTTTATTTGATTTATGCATTTCCTTATTTATTAATTATGTAGTAGGAAATAAAATATCTTGCAACTTGTTAGGCAAGATAAGTATTCTTTTGCTTATTTATATGTGAACAAACAAGGGGAAACATCATTGACGTTTGAGAATAAAATTTATCTGTTCCTTTTCTTTGAGAGAGTCTCAATTTTACTATTCTTCTTGAGAGAGTATCTCGAGAGGGCCCTTTTCGTATCACGTTCTACATCAGCCAATACCATTACAAATGTTGAATCATACTCTTTTACATGCTCTCTGATCCAAAACTTCAACTATAGGCTACCTTACTGCCTCAATGTGTGACTGGCTATTAATTAAAGTCAAATAACAAAACATGCTCAAGATGAAGAAAGATAATATTGTATCCTTTAATTTTCTCTTTCGGATCATGATTTAAAGTCCTCACTACAAAGAATCAAAGCCGGCTGATCGGTTGGCACATCGAAAGGAACCTGAAGAGGCTCTAGGGAATCTACTATGTCCCTCATTAGAGGCCTTGCCTTTGGGTTACGATTTAAGCAGTGATAAGCCAGCATGGCTGCTTTCTGGAAGCCCTTGCTCGGATAATCACCTCCGAGTCTTGGATCAACTATGTTGAACATTTTCTTCTTTTCTCTTAGTAAGGGGACTGCCCAATCCGTGAGATTCTGTTCGCGAACTGGCCGTGTTCTGTCTAACGACTTTCTGCCCGTTAAAAGCTCCACAAGCACTACTCCAAAGCTATACACATCACTCCTAGGCGTTAGGTGGCCTACGAAAATCGAGAATGGAAGCAGAAATGTTACAAGAAAGCAAAAACACAAATTGAATTTAGTTATAGGCTTATGGTCTTATTATATAGTTGGGACTAATTAGTGATCGCGAAATAAATACCGGTCATTATGTA